CAGAAGGTCTTCATCCCCCGCCCTGCCCAGGTGTCCCTGAAGCAAGCTGAGGAGGTGCACAAGAAGGAGAAGAAGCCCCAGAAGCCGGGCAAGTACATCTGCCAGTACTGCAGCAGGCCCTGCGCCAAGCCCAGCGTGCTCCAGAAACACATCAGGTCCCACACGGGTGAGAGGCCCTACCCTTGCATTCCATGCGGCTTCTCCTTCAAGACCAAGAGCAATCTGTACAAACACAGGAAGTCCCATGCTCACCGGATCAAAGCCGGGCTGGCCTCAGGGATCGGAGCAGAGATGTACCCGTCGAGCCTGGAGATGGAGCGAATCGGTGGGGAGGAGTTCGAGGAGCCAACAGAAGGGGAGAGCACGGACTCAGAAGAGGAGACGGTGACAATGTCGGGTCACGCCGTGGAGCTGTCGCCCAGGCAGAAACACACCCTGCTCTCCAGCAGCCTGCTGAGCGCGGGGAGCCAAGGTTCCAGCCACGACCGCTGCTCGTTGTCCCATTCCAGCATGTCCCAGTCCCTCGAGGACAGCTCCCAGTTCGTGGAGCCGTCGTCAGAGCACGCCCTGAGCCATAAGTCCGAGGACACCCACACCATCAAGCAGAAGCTGGCGCTGCGCCTGAGCGAGCGCAAGAAGGTGATTGACGAGCAGGCGTTCCTGAGCCCGGGCAGCAAAGGCAGCACGGAGTCTGGGTACTTCTCCAGATCCGAGAGTGCGGAGCAGCAGATCAGCCCTCCCAACACCAACGCCAAATCCTACGCCGAGATCATCTTCGGGAAGTGTGGGAGGATCGGGCAGAGGACGGCGGCGCTGGCTGCAAACACAACCCAGGGGTTCCCACACCTGTCAGGTGATGAGAAGCCCAGCATGGTCCCGTTGTCTGTGCCTAGAACACAGGTGATCGAACACATCACTAAGCTAATTACCATTAACGAAGCTGTTGTGGATACCAGTGAAATCGACAGCGTGAAGCCCAGAAGAAGCTCTCTTTCGAGGCGTAGCAGCATTGAATCCCCAAAGTCTGGTGCGTACAGAGAACCGTTTCAGTTCGATATCAAGTCTGGCTCCAGCAGCCAGCTGGATGCAGCGAAAGTGTTGGCATCCCACGGTGAAAAAATGAAGCCCGAACAATCATTGTTGTCACTTCAGCAATCCCACAGTGCCACAGAGACAGTGCCTCTCCTAAGAAGCCACTCAATGCCTTCTGCTGCATGCACTATAAGCTCCCCACACACCTTTAGAGGTAGCTACTCATTCGATGATCACATCATGGAGCCGGAAGTCTTAAGCCGCAGCCAAGCATTTTCCTCCCACCCTCGAATGCTAAAACGCCAACCAGCTATTGAGCTACCCTTGGGAGTGGAGTACGTCTCGGAAGAGGTTGGCTCTGCCAGCAAAGAAACTGTTCCCAAACCTCCCGAGGAGCCTGAAACCAAGGAAAGCGATCTTACCAAAAAGTCCCGCAAGGGCCCGAAGGGGAAAGGGTTCATGTACGAGTGCAATGTGTGCGGCGCTCGCTACAAGAAAAGGGACAACTACGAGGCCCACAAGAAGTACTACTGCTCAGAACTGCAGCTCTCCAAGCCTCGCTCTGCCACGTCCCACACCTCCTCAGAGCCGGAGAAGAGCGTGGCAGATCCCGACGTGTGGCCCCAGATGATGCATTACAAGCTGGGCAGCACCTTGGAGCTCACCCCACTGCGCAAGAGGCGGAAGGAGAAGAGCCTCGGGGATGATGAGGAACCTCCATCTTTCGAAGTGTCTGACACCCCCTCCTCCAGCACCGGCCCAAGCACTCAGTTTGCAAACCTGGCCTCGTCTGAGGTGGCTCTAAACCTGACCCGTGAATCCATGAAGTCGCCAGCAGACTCGGGAAAATCCGCACCTTCCGAGGCCAGTGCCAGCTTCCATTCCAGGAACACAAAACCAGCTTCGAGCACGGAGGGCAAGGAGAGGAGAACAACCTCCAAGGAGATCTCTGTCATCCAGCACACGAGCTCCTTTGAGAAGTCAGACTCCATCGAGCAGCCCAGCAGCTTGGAAGAGGACAAGCCCCTGTCCCAGTTCCCATCTCAGCCCACTCCCCAGCACAGCCGCCCCCCTCATTCCCTGCAGCCCAGGCTGGTCCGCCAGCCCAACATCCAGGTCCCTGAGATTCTGGTCACAGAAGAGCCGGACAGACCAGAAACAGAGCCAGAACCTCCTCTGAAGGAGCCAGAGAAAACCGAGGAGTTCCAGTGGCCACAGAGGAGCCAGACTCTTTCCCAGCTCCCTGCAGAGAAGCTCCCACCCAAGAAGAAGCGGCTCCGGCTGGCAGAAATGGCCCAGTCCTCTGGGGAGTCCAGCTTTGAGTCCGTCTCTCTCACCCGGAGCCCCAGTCAGGAGAGCAGCCTCTCCCATGGCTCCAGCCACTCCATCTCCTTTGACCGGGATGACCACACCAAGCCAGAGTCGAGTAGCCAGCCCTCTGAATCCCACCCAAAACCTCCTGGTGTTGGCTCCCATATGCTGATGGTCCCCAGCCACCATCACCATTCCAGGGAAATGCGGAGATCTGCTTCCGAGCAGACGCCCAACGTGTCCCACCCTTCCCAGATGTCAGAGACTCGCAGCAAATCCTTCGACTACGGGAGCTTGTCGTCCACTCCTGCCTCCACCCCCGGCCCCTCCACCTCCTCGGCCCCTCAGGAGAGGAGGAAATGCTTCCTGGTGCGGCAGGCGTCCCTCACCAGGCACCCTGAACATGAGCCAGACCCGGCCCCACTGGGCTGGCCGGACACCGAGGATCCCGCTCCTTCTTCAAGTAAATCTCCTGCCACGAGTTTGCCCCATCAGCCGACCACATCCTCCCCTTTGCCCTCTCACGGCACCTATCCGAGCGACAAGAGCCAGCCAAAGGACAGCCCCGAGCCATCCTACAGCCCGCCATACACAGAGGCTCTGCAGGTGTTCCACCACCCCGTGCCACAGCTGACGCTGCATGAGAAGCACTTCATGGCCCCTCAGGTTTCCATATTCCCCTACCAGCACCTCCTGCCGCAGCCGGGGCAGTCTGCAGAGCTCTTTGCCGCACACACCATGTCTGACATCCTCTCTGCCCAGTTCTCCATGCCTCAGATCCCTCCCTCCATATTCCAGACCCCGCCGCTGCCCCTCCCGCAGACGCTCATCCACCCGGGCCCGCTCCACATTGCTCCTCCCTTGATGTCTCACCCCGCCGAGGTGTCCTTCAGGCACCCTTCCTTCCTGCCTGTGCACTACCCTGGCTCCTCCCCGATACCCTCAGCCTTCTTCCTGCCTCTCCAGTCTCAGTTTGCCCTCCACTTGCCAGGTGATGCTGGTGGACATTTGCCACAGATCAAATCCAGTTTGTTCTCGGCAGCAGGAAGCTCCAGCCTGTCCCCGTGCACGGATTATGACTCGGACAGCAGGTTGCACCCTCTGACCTGTGCGGCGAGTCCTGCGCTCTCTGTCACCGTGACCCAGCTCGTTGTCCCCACCCGGACAGAGCCCATGGTGTCCCTGGTTGTCCCCGTCCGCATCCAGACCAACATGCCCTCCTATGGCAGCGCCATGTACACCACGCTCTCCCAGATCCTGGTCACGCAGTCCCAGTGCAGCTCCTCCACCATCGTCCTCCCCAAATTTGATGACCGCCAGCCCAAGGGCGCCCTGGTGTGCAGCGCTGATGTCCACGGGCTGGGGTTTGACCTGGCCCAGATGATCACAGAGGAGCAGAGAAGCCTTTTCCAGAGCCCATACCTGAGAGTTCCCTTGCCCTTGCCGGAAAGAAAGGGCTACATGCCCCTCACCTGCCCCTCAGACAGTGTCCTCGGCTTGGAAGGGGGCCCCTCCACAGTTGGAGGGAGCAAAAGGATGCTGTCCCCAGCCGGCAGTTTGGAGCTGACCATGGAGACACAGCAGCAGAAGAGAGTGAAGGAGGAAGAAGTGTCTGAAGCAGAGGAGAAGCTAGAAGTGGTGAAGCCACCCAGTACAGTCGAGGAAGGGAAAAATCAGGATAAACCTCACTTCCTTGCAGAAAGCCAAGACAGGGTGGAGGTTGAGACACCACCCAGCGTGTCCGTGGAGCAGTCGGAGCCAAAGGAAACCCCGAGCAGTTCCCAGCAGGCAGCATCCCGGCCGGGTTCCCCCAGCTTTGAGGCACTGCAGGAGTACGAGCAGCCAGCTGGCAAACAGTTCCTCAGCCAGGAGCCTCTGCAGCCCGTCAAGAAGGAAGACTCCAAAGAACCGGTGGAGCAGCCTCCACCAACCCCTGCCAGCACTGCCCCCGTGCCCGAGGGCGCCGCCAGCGCGGGGAAGGCTCGGGAAGGCACCGACACCAAGAAGGTCCTGCAGTTCCCTAGTCTCCACACAACCACTAATGTCAGTTGGTGCTATTTAAACTACATCAAGCCAAATCACACCCAGCAAGCGGATGGGCGCTCCTCGGTGTACGCCAGCTGGTGCATCAGCCTCTACAACCCCAACCTGCCCGGGGTGTCCACCAAGGCAGCCCTGGCCCTGCTGAGGTCCAAGCAGAAGGTGAGCAAGGAGACCTACACCATGGCCACCGCGCCGCGGCCTGAGGCGGGCAGGCTGGTCCCGGCCGGCTCCAGGAAGCCCAAAATGACCGAGGTAATGCAATCCTATCTCTTCTTTCTGCTGATCCATTTGGATGCGTGGGTAGCGGGGGCTGAGGGCCGGGGTGTGGCTGTGCTCAGCGTGGTCGGGGTGTACTCGTCCCGCTGGCGCTGGGGGAAGCGCCTGTTCTCAGTGAAGCTCTTAGAGTGAAGAGCCCAAACCCCACTGAAAGCCCAACCCAGGGGGCAGGAGAGCCTGCTCCCAGGCCAGGTTTCTGTTCTCCAGTTCCTACTTGCTATGTAGCCCAAAAAGTAGGAATCACCACCACCACTACCACCCCAGGAACCACCACAGCTCCAGCACAAAGGATTAGACTTCATTTGCATTTGTCTTGATATTTCAAACAGCTTTACAACTTCTTTCTTTTTTCTTTTTTTTTTGTTTAAACGCTGTTATAATTCCCTGCATTTTGCATGTTAGAAATGAAGAAAAAGGATTACCTTGGGGAAATGGGATTCTGTCTGGTTGTGCATCTGCTCATCTCACATTAATGAACATGGAGAGGCATGCTTAAAAGTATTTAAAAAATATTTAAGGGAGATTTGCAAGTGTATTTAGGCCCCTGAAGAAGCACAAAGGCTGACAGTGACATTTATAAAAGTGCCTCAGCGGGTCAGACACGTTTTGTTAAACACCCCTGTGGTTTGGTCCGTTTGGTCTATAGCTGTCCACCTGCTTTTCCAGGTATTTAAGGATATTTTATGCCTGGTTTTAGAGTTAAGACTTCACAGTGGCTTCCCAGGGGCAGGGCTCCCCCAAGGCATTGCCCACACGGGCACAGAAGTCTTTAAGACCCTCCTGTGAGCTGCCTAATTTTATGTATCTCATTTTAAAGCCAGACTTTACCCTTCCTGCTTAATGCTGAACCAAACAGATCCCTTTAATCCAGATCATGTTCATGTAGATTAGCAAACAGAATCGCTCTAAAGATTTTGCAATTTGATATTCATCTCAAGTCAATTTATATTGATGGATTATTCATTTTATTTCTGTGTCATGAAATGAACTCTGAATATTAAATTTATCATAATCGCTGCTGCAGCTGCTGCTTATAAATATGTCTTAAAATACACAGTAGAATCGCTTTGATTCAATAAATCTTTATTTCTATTCAGCATTTCCATCACTCTCCTGCAGAAATCCAAGAGACAGATTTCTAGGGACATGGGGGCAGATAATTACCTGAGCAGTGCAATAACCATGCTGAGATTTATGCACTATTTCTCCAAGGGTTTTATCCGAGTGGTGCTGTAGCACCCAGGATTTCAATCCCTAAAGGAAGTGCCTGTGCTGCTCTGAGCCCTGCTCTTTGCCATGGTGCTAAAACCCACACCCAGTGAGTGTCCACAGGTACCAGACCCACCCGCCCTGAAGGGAAATGTTAAACAGGGGTTAAAGGGTTAAAGGGTTCAGCCCTCACTCATCCAAACCCACATTTCACTGCATGCATTTCCCCCAAAGCCTCCTAAATCCCTTCAGCCAACCCCTCCAAGCTGCCTGGTGGAGCAGGTTCAGGTTCCCATAGCTCAATTTACAAAAGGCAGAGTTCACCCAGCCCAGTTCACCTGGATCCTAACCCAGCCCTGCTCCCAAGTGGCTGGCAGAGCCCTGAGAGCTGCAGCAGAGATAGATCAAATTCTTGCCAAATTCTTGCACAGCACTTATTTGTGATCAGTGGGGTGAAATCCTCCATGCAGGGTGTAAAACATGGGTGGGGAAGCGGCGGCTGCCAGGACGTTCAGCCCTCACTCATCCAAACCCACATTTCACTGCATGCATTTCCCCCAAAGCCTCTAAACTCCCTCAGCCAACCTCTCCGAGCTGCCTGGTGGTGCAGGTTAAGGTTCCCGTGGCTCAATTTACAAAAGGCAGAGTTCACCCTACCCAGTTCACCTGGATCCTAAACCCAGTCCTCCTCCCATGTGGCTGGCAAAGCCCCTGAGAGCTGCAGCAGAGGTAAATTGAATTCTTGCCAAGCACAGCACTAATCTGTGATCAGTGGTGATCAGGGTGAAATCCTCCATGCAGGGTGTAAAACACAGGTGGGGAAGCAGCAGCTGTCAGGACGTTCAGCCCTCACTCACCAAACCCACATTTCACTGCATGCATTTCCCCCAGAGCCTCTAAACCCCCTCAGCCAACTCCTTCAAGCTGCCTGGTGATGCAGGTTCCTGTGGCTCAGTTTGTGAAGAGTTCACCCTGCCCAATTCACCTGGAACCAGTGGATCCTAACCCAGCCCTGCTCCCAGTGTGGCTGGCAGAGCCCTGAGAGCTGCAGCAGAGATAAATTGAATTCTTGCCAAGCACAGCACTAATTTGTGATCAGTGGGGTGAAATCCTCCATGCAGGGTGTAAAATACAGGTGGGGAAGCAGCAGCTGCAAGGACGTTCAGCCCTCACTCATCCAAACTCACATTTCAATGCATGCATTTCCCCCAAAGACTCTAAACTCCCTCAGCTAACCCCTCCAAGCAGGTTCAGGTTCCCATGGCTCAGTTTGTGAAGAGTTCACCCTGCCCAGTTCACCTGGATCCTAAACCCAGCCTTGCTCCCAGCGTGGCTGGCAGAGCCCTGAGAGCTGCAGCAGAGATAAATCAAATTCTTGCCAAGCACAGCACTAATTTGTGATCAGTGGGGATGAAATCCTCCATGCAGGGTGGGGAAGCAGCAGCTGCCAGGACGTGCAGCAGCCGTAGCATCACTCCAGGGTTGGAGTCCAGCGCTCAGCTAACTCTGCTCTGGCTCCTTGCCCTCCATATTCCCTCCTCCATGTAACTCCAGGGTGTCAGTTCCTCCCAGGAGATGTAAAAAGCTCTGGTGTTTTGTACAGTTATGCATGCAGCAAACAGTAGTTCTGTACGTGCTGTCTCCGTCCTTGCCTTGGGGTTTCAATTTCCAGTGGGATTTGCTGAGCAGAAAATTCTGGAATTCTGGAGTGGCTGCGGGGTCCTACGTGCATGTAGGGATGGCTGGTGACACTGTACTGGGGCTTGCACTCTCTGTAAATTCCAACAAGACTGTAACAGGGGATAGTAGGGACTGTATGATTTTGGCTCTCTGGTGCCTTTCATCTGTCAATGTTTTTGTGCTTTCGAAAGTTGCAATAAATAAACCTCGTGCTACATCTAGCAAGTCAATTGTTTTGTATTCCTCAGTAAACCTGGGAAGGTTGTCCCCTGCAGTGCTCTGAGCCCATAACTCCCATCAGGAGGCAAAGTCACAACTCTAAAAGTTTAGGTTCTGAGTTTCTCCTGCTGCTGATTTCCTCACTGTCATCTCCATGCCCACAGCCACCAGCTCAAGACTATTCCTGCTGTTAAATGTTCAAATGGCTCCTGGCACTTTTGTCATGAAATTCCTGGCACTTTTAGGGACACAGGACTGCAAAAGGACCATTTCCAGGAGGCTTCTAGGATGGGTGTGTGGATGGTGTGGCCACAGGGCTGACCTGGCCCCAAGGACAGAGAGTAGCCCTGAGTGGATTTAATGCTCTGAGCTGAGCTCCTGAAATTCCTGGGCAAATTTGAAATGCTTCACCCCAGTTTTGCAAAGCAACTTTTGAGTGAGTCCATCCCTCCTGTTGAACATCCTGTGGCAGTTCCAGCAGCTGGGGGGGCTGGGTTATATCCCCCTGGATTCTGTGGGATTCTGTTGGAGCTGCTCACTCTGTGGCTTCCCCCAAAATTCCCACTGGATTCTGTAGGACCCAGTTGGAGCTGCTCACTCTGTGGCTTCCCCCAAAATTCCTGCTGGATTCTGTGGGATTTGTTGGAGCTGCTCACTCTGTGGCTTCCCCCAAAACTCCCCCTGGATTCTGCAGGACTCTGTTGGAGCTGCTCACTCTGTGGCTTCCCCCAAAACCAGGGGAGACAAGGAGGCTGCGCTGGAGTGATTCATCCCCTGCAGCCCAGGCTGAGGTGAGGCAGGTGAATCACCTGGGCAGCTGCCACTCCTGCCAGCCAGAGCCAAGGGTGCCCAGCTCTGCTTCAGCCTTCAGGGGCTGCCCACAGGCCAAATCCCCTCTGAAAACTGCTCTCAGCTGCCTGCAGCTTCCATCAATTACAGAGAATGTGAGGATATGGATCCAGGATCCTCATCCAGGATATGGGTTCAGCTGGATGTCAGAGTGACTGTGTGAGAAGGGATCTGGGGAAAAGGCTCTGCTTCCCTTTCCCTGGAGATCCCTGGGTTTGTCCTCTTGGGCTGTAGGGGACCAACACCCCAACATTTCATTCCAAGTGTGCAGAGCTTTCCCTGGGTTTATCCTGTTGGGATTTAGAGGGCAACATCCCATTATTCCATTCCATTCCAGATTGGAGAGCTCTCCCTGGGTATGTCCTATTAGGATTTAGGGGCCAATATCCCAATATTCTATTCCAAGTGTGAAGAGCTCTCCCTGGCTTTGTCCCAGGATTTAGGACATCCCAATATTTCATTGCAGGTGTGGAGAGCTCACCTGAATTTGTTTTGTTAGGATTTAGAGGGCAATATCCCAACATTTCATTGCAGGTGTGGAGAGCTCTCCTTGCATATGTCCTATTAGGATTTAGGGGGCTAAATCCTACCACGGGGCTAAATCCTATTAGGGTTCCAGGTTGGAGAGCTCACCTGCATTTGTTTTGTTAGGATTTAGAGGGCAACATCACAACATTTCATTCCAGGTTGGAGAGCTCTCCCTGGCTTTGTCCTATTAGGATTTAGGGAGAAATATCCCAACATTTCGTTCCAGGTTGAAGAGCTCACCTGCATTTGTTTTGTTAGGATTTGGAGGGCAACATTCCATTATTCCATTCCAGGTCTGGAGAGCTCTCCCTGGCTTTGTCCCAGGATTTAGGACATCCCAACATTTCATTCCAGCTGTGGACAGGTGTCCCTGGGTATGTCCTATTAGGATTTAGGGGGCAATATCCCAACATTTTGTTCCAGGTTAGAGAGCTCACCTGCATTTGTTTTGTTAGGATTTAGGGGGCAACATCCCATTATTCCATTCCAGGTGTGCAGAGCTCTCTCTGGGTTTGTCCCAGGATTTAGGACATCCCAACATTTCATTCCAGGTTGGAGAGCTCTCCCTGGGTATGTCCTGTTAGGATTTAGAGGGCAACATCCCAACATTTCATTCCAGTTTGGAGAGCTTTCCCTGGCTTTGTCCTGTTTAGAGGGCAACATCCTATTAGTCCATTCTAGGTTGGAGAGCTCTCCCTGGCTTTGTCCCAGGATTTAGGACATCCCAACATTTCATTCCAGGTGTGCAGAGCTCTCCCTCATCCCACCCACAGATGCAGCTTTGATGTTCAGGTCCATCCTATAACAAACACGTTAATCGTGTAGGTGAGGTGTCAGGGCATGACTTAAACCTTGGGCTGGACAAGGTTTAGACACAAAATCCCCTCAACAAGTGGCAATTTAACAGTGAAAAAGCAGATTTGGCCCTGGGAATGTGTGGGGAGGTTGAGGATTCTTTTCTCCCGTGGGTTTTGTGGCTTTCTCTGGGCTGTGCCCTTGGCAGCGAAAGGAAATCACCCAGGAATGCTGATTTATGTCAGGCTGAGGTGGCTGAAACCCAAATTTGTGTGAATATGTGTGAATGTGGGGGAAACCCGGAGGTTCAGTGTATGAATTCTGAAGACAGACCCTCTCCAGACCTTTCAGATGTGCATTTCAGAGAGAGCATTATCCAGGGACAGAGGTTTGGGAACAGACACTCCACATGCTCAGGGTCACCCCAGCCACCACACTTCCCTTCATCCTTCATTTTTCCAGGTGGCAAGAGCTGGATAACCTGGAAGGAGCAATTAAAAAACTTGTCAGATGTAGGAGTACTTTTTGTGTTGACAGAGTGACAAAACTATCCTTTGTCTCCTTAAAAAGGAAAAAAGCCCAAAAGTTTCTTTCCTCAATTAGCAAAAAAGACGCCTCATAAGACCTAAGAAACTTCACCTCAGACTCAAGGATAGCCAATTGGATATAAGCCAAAAAAATTACTAGAAAAAGAAGAAAACAAAGAAACTATTGCTTTTGTGAAGTGTTTTACCAAGAGCAAGAGTCTCTTGCACCTAGCTCGGTTTTTCTCTGTGAGGAGTTTTGTTATTTTGCCTTTTATGAAAACTTTTTTATTTCCAACTCTACCACAAAAGCTATCCTGCTAATTTTATGCCTTCTAAAGTAGCTGGGCTATCTTAAGTGTAATATAAATCTCCAAAAACTTTTGAGACCTTGTTGGAACCCAGGACATTCCTCTGGCTGCCCTGGAGAACTTGAGACCCTGGCAGGGGGCTCATAGACCTTGCAATGGAGTCAAAACCACCTGTGCCTTTGATTTTAGCCCATGGAAACAATTACCAACTTTGTGTGAGGATTTACAAGCCACAAGAGTTTGAATAGAATGATAGTGAATTTATCATCATGTGAAAATGTAGAATTTTGGGGTTTTTAGAATGGGGGTTCAAGAGGAAAGATGGAGGAATCTGGGCATGTCCTGTCCTTCTCCTTCTTCTTCTTCTTGTCCTCCATCTTCTGCTGGGATGGTGACACTTCTGGATTGGTTTAGAGTAGAGACAGACTGTCTAACGTAGGTGATAGGTATTGGAAAATTATTGTAAATAAAATATATGTAGTTTTTAGTATAAAAAGATAACATCGACCCAAGCCGGTCAGTGTGCCACAAACTGACCTCCTGGACAGACCTCAGCAGGTCAGAGAAAGAATGTGTCAGGAAAATGAATCCACAAACACCAGAAGTTTATGTCCAAAAAGGAGACAGAGGAGTCCTTTTACTTTATTCCAATAAAGGGAGAGGCCATGGGGCATTCCCCTGGGATCTCTCCGATTTTTGGAGGGCACAGCCTCCTTTTTATCCCAATTTCCCAGCTGCATTTCCCTTCTCTCTTTCCCCATTTCTGAGGTACTTGAGAGGTTCAGACTCCCCAGTATGACTGATACTAAAGATTCCCCTCCAATGTACAACCCTCCCTTTTGATTGTTAATTCTTACAGAATTTAGGGGTTTTCCTTCCCTATTGTTTCTTTCATCTTTCAATGTCTAATTTCATTTATCAGCAAACCTAAAGTTTATTTGTAAAATCAAATATCTTTTCCCATTCATCAATCAGTGGAATCCTTCCCATTGTTTCTTTTATCTCCCAGTGCTGGTTTTATCTCCCAGCAGACCCACAGCTGATTTGGAAAGATAAATCTGCTATTCCTCTCAAATGTTATAGATAAGAAATAATAAACAACCTTGAAAACGAG